CTGCAGTCTAGTCTTTCTTGGCAAAGCACCATCTGGACAAGATGGCCCAGCATCCTGTCCAGCCAAATCTCCTCCACCAATCCCCTGGGGAGATTATTCCAATGGTTGGTGATTCTCACTGTGAAACATTTTCCTCATGTGCAATTGTAACTTCCTCAGAAGTAACCTTGTACCCATTATCCCTTGTCTTTTTCATGTGACTTCTTGTAAAAAGGGAGCCTCCATCTTCACTTTAAATAGTGGAACATGGTGATAAGGTCTCCCATAAGCCTTCTTTTCTCAAGGCTGAACAAACCCAGTTCTCTCAGCCTTCTCCCCTCTGACAGGCTTCCCAGTCGGTGGTTCTTCTCTGGACCTTCTCCAGCCTGTCCACATCTTTTCTGCACAGCAGTGACCAAAAGTGACCACAGTATTCCAGTGTGGTCTGATGAGCACTGAGCAGAGCGGGACAATGACTTCTGGATCTCTGCTGGTGATGCTCTTGTGATGCAGCCCAGCACCCTGTTGGCTTTCTGTGCCAGCACAGCACTGTTTGCTCATGTCGATCTGATTGTCCACCTGGATCCCCAGATCCCTTTCCACAGAGATGCTCCCCAGCTGGTGAGATGCCAGCCCGTGCTGCACACCTGGGTTATGTTTTCCCAGGTGCAAGACCTGATGGTGGCCCCTGCTGGACTTCATCAGATTCCTGTTAGCCACTCTCCAGCCTATCCAAATCTTCCTGCAGGGTGGCTCTCTCTTCCAAAGTGTCCACTTTCCCACTCAGTTTGGTATCAAGTTTCATTGTGGTACACTTGATCTCATCTTCCCAATCACTTTATGAGGATATTAAACAGCACTGGGCCTGACATCGATCCAGGGGGATCCCACTTGTGCCATGCTGCCCATTTGAAGAGGAGCCATTTACCAGCACCCTCTGGGTGCTGCCTCTCAGCCACTTCCCACCACCACATGGAGCACTCACACACACCACAGCCCATCTGTTTCTCCAGAGGGAGGCTGTGGGAAACTGAAATGAAAGCCTTGGAGAAATCCAGGAGACAATGTCCACCCCCCAGCCCACATCAACCAAGCAGCTTACTTTGTCACAGAGGGTGACCAGGTTTGTCAAGCTCAATTGGTGAGTTCATGTTGGCTTTTCCCAATCCCTTGCTTCATCTGATATGTGATAACTCCCATGAAGATTCATTCCATAGCTTAAAAGTTCCTCCTTTAAACTCTACTTGTAGATGGAGGTATTATCCTTCCAGTCCTCTGGGACATCCCTATCTCTCCTTTGACTTCTCCAAAAGTTATGCTGAATGGCCTTGCAATGATGTCACTCAGCTCTCTTAATACCCCTGGGCAATGCCAGGGCCCATTAATCCATAGGGGTCAAGCTCCTGTAAGAGCTCACCCCCACTCTGTCTTCACTGACACTGGTGGGTCTGGATTTGCATTAGCCTGGATTTTTGTTCCCAGGTCTGGGGACCCAGCAGTGCTGGTGAAGACAGAGGTGAAGAAGGTGCTGTGACTAATTCACTTTTCCTGTTTATTGGTAGGCCAATATTTTCCTTCTATTCCTCTTTCTTTTGTACATACCTGAAGAACTGTTTCTTGCAGTTTGCAGCATTTCTGGCTAAATTAATTTCTAGCTGAGCTGTTGCTTTTCTGTCTGCATCTGCAGGCCCTGGCAATGCCCTTGTAGATCTCAACAGGTATTTATCCACATTTCCATCACTGTGCACTTTGCATTTGGTTTTGACTCAAAAGGTTGCAGTTAAGCCAAGGGGTCTCTTGCTCCACCTGTTTCCCTTATCTTAAAGGGTATTAACTATTTTTATGTTTCCAGAAGAGCATCCTTGAAAAACTCCTAGCACTTGGGAGTTCCTTTGGCCTTCATGAAAGCTCCCTGCAGAATCCCTCCCACCTGATCTCTGAGCAAGCTGAACTTTGCTCTTCTACAATCTGATACCTAGAACCAATTCAATAGGTTAAATAATACTAATATAATATAATATAATATAATATAATATAATATAATATAATATAATATAATATAATATAATATAATATAATATAATATAATATATTTTAAATTACAAAAGGAAATCTGGTAGAATGTGGTAACGTTCTACTGGACATTACCAGGCTGAGATCCAAAGTGAATGTATAAGGAGCTACCTGTGGCCCTTCATTATCTTGGCTTTAATTATTCATTTGAAGCTTACCCAAATGCCAGCAGTGGAAAGCTATTACGGGAACTCTGTGCTTTTCACCTTCATGGTAATGTGTCTCAGAGGATTTGAAGGCTTAAAAGAATAATAAATTTTCTTTTAATGAGGTGGCAAAATTCTAAATTGCTGTATCAGATCTCATTCTCAAATTAGGAAAGAATCAATAATCGAAAGTTATGAAGGAGATAGTAAATATCTTGTGTCATGTGAGAAGAAATTTCTGAAGTTACTGGATTTTTAAGCAATGTGATGATTTTTAAGGAAGTGATTTCTAATGAAATAGTTGTATGATTTATTTTCCTTTATGCCTGCAGGACCACAAAGTAGAAGAATTCATCAGTTCTCCACTTTATTCTGTAATGATAATCAGTTATGAGATGCTGTTGCGATCTTCAGATCAAATTGAGGCTGTAGAATTTAACCTCCTAATCTGTGATGAAGGACATCGTCTGAAAAATAGCACTATTAAGACAACTACAGCACTTACGAGTCTGTCTTGTGAGAGGAGAATTATCCTCACTGGTTAGTATCCATAGTTACTTTTAATATTTTTTTATGTTGATAGTGCTAGGTTGGGGTAAAAGAAAAAGATATTCTAAATATAGCATGAGATCAGTTGGAATTTTGTCAATGGGTATTAAATGAAGAAATCTCAGGTCTTGTAAAAACAGATTATTTCCAATTTTTTTTCCACAAAGGCAAAATTCTTCAGGGGCAAGCAAGAAACCTTGGATCGTCTGTAAAGGAATTGGGACTCTGCATACACTCAAAGTTTTCCTTTGTAGTTCTTTAATACAATTAATTTAGAACTTGACTTTTTAACTTTATTTGTCAGAACAATTAAATCTGCAGCCTGTTTAGTTAGCAGTACAGTATCTAGTTGTTCATGGTAAAGTTTTAGATCAATTCAGGACTCTGAGTAATTCACATTGAAATAAAACATCTGTTTTCAAGATATGTTGTCAGTATTAAACTCTGCATTAATGTACTTCCATCAGTCTAAAGAAAGAAAAATTGCAGAATTATTTTTTTCTCTTTTAAGGTACTCCAATCCAAAATGACTTGCAAGAATTTTATGCATTAATAGAGTTTGTGAATCCAGGAATACTTGGTTCTTTATCCACGTATAGAAAGATATATGAGGAACCAATTGTCAGATCTAGAGAACCTTCAGCAACAGAGGTATTTGGTTAAAAAATTCAGTTATAGAAGAAAATTCATAATAAAGTGAAATTTGCATTCTGTGGAGCAAAGTGAAGCTTGGGACTACTAATCGTAGCTGGAGCTTTTCACCTCCCTGTTTGACGTGAAGCCACTTGTTTTCCAAAGGGAGCAGAAGGAGAACACACATGTTAAAATCTCCTCACTTTGGCTGCCTATTAATTAGCAGGCAACAACTGTGCTTCCAACGCCTGCATTCCCCAAAAGAACATGTGATGATACTTTATTCATTATTAGCTTCTCCACAGCACTGCAAGGTCTGCATGCTTTCACTGCATCTCAAGAAATTCTAGAATATAATTCAAGTCTTGGATGTCATCTGGGACATTATTTTCCTTTGTTTAAGACTTTAGAAACAAGACATAGAACTAATGCAGTGGTACTAATTGGAGAAGAATTGGTCATTACAGTCTCATGTCAGAAAGTGGTATCATACTCTTAAAAGGTTATTTAAATACCTAATTAAAATCATACAGAACATTGTTCTGATGAAATGCAAGATTTTAATTAATTTTGTGCTTTGTTCTTTTAGGAGGAAAAGGAATTAGGAGAAAAAAGAGCAGCTGAACTCACTCGCCTCACTGGACTCTTTATTCTAAGAAGAACACAGGAGGTTATAAACAAATTTCTGCCCCCCAAAAAGGAGAGCATAATTTTCTGCCGACCAACAGCACTGCAACTTGAATTGTATCGCAAACTGCTTGGTTCTCGTGTTATTACATCGTGTCTGCAAGGCAGGCTGGAAAATAGTCCCCACCTAATATGTATAGGGGCTCTGAAAAAACTTTGCAATCATCCATGCCTTCTGTTTAAAGCTATAAAGGTTATAGCTTTATCTATTTATCTATTTAGGTATCTATTTGCATGGGGGTGTGTGCTTGCAATTAGTCATTTCAGCAGACACAGATCACTAAATCTGTGTTATCAATGTGCATGTTGCTTAAGGTCATTTCCATACTCTCACTCTCTAGGAAGTCTGCTTTCAAAAGCACAAGTGTTAGGAAATCTGAATGTATTCAGGAAAGTAATCTCACCAGTTTCCTATTGCCTTATGCTGTTTTCTCTTTCTTAATGTATTTTCTGTCTTAACCTTGTCTCTGAATATTTGTAAAAATACATATAAATGTGAATTTTACAAAGAGCACTGTTAACTAGAGATTACTAGTCTAAATTACTAGTATGTACTTTGTCTGCTGGTTTCTCTGAAACCTCATGTCCACATGATATTTGCACTTTTCCAAGCTTAATGACACGCGGAGCTGCAGACTCAAGATGTCAGTGGTACTAGATGTCTCCATTACCACTTCTCCTAGGATTGTACATAAATAAATGGACTTATTCCTATAGGCAAATAGTATGGTAGTTAGAACTTGGTAATAGTAACTTCTATGGCCACTAGCTGAAGTCCAAGTAAGGTGGGTGGAAATGTAAATCTTTATTAAAAGATGTACTTTATGACTTTGGTGGAATATCACAATGCAGTATCCCTGTAACTTTCAATGCTACCAAGTAAAGTTCATTGCCTTTACTTCATAGTATAAGCATTAGAAAGCTTTCATATGCAAAACCCCAAGCCTTTATTAAATATAGGGATGGAGAGGACTGTATGTGCAAATCATTTATTACCATTGTGATTTTGGCATTTGAGTAGTCTGGCTTTTTCCTCCCTGTGAAACATTGATTTTTCTAAGTACAGCAAAATATTATCTGTATTTCTGCTATTTTACTGGTTTTGCTTGCCAGCTTTTCTTCATTTTCAATAGTATAACTGAATCTTAGCGACAGTATTTTCCTAAACAGAGTAAATGATTGGGAAGTTTCATAATAAGATATTATGGGATTTAGAAAGAATAAACAATGTATTGATTTCCTCCTCACTCCCAAGGTTAGATATATCTTTACTGTGGAAATACATTTGTGTGGTTGTTTAAGTAGAGAAGTTGTACGCATTTTTCAGTTTTAAGTATTTCATCTTTCTACTTAGCTGCAAGCAATGTCTTAGATTAGAGAATGTAAACTAAAATAAACACTATAAGTACTCTAAAACTGCTTTCAATCCCGTGTTTGGCGGTTGTCATGCTCATGATCACACTCACATAATACATTGCTTTGTGCCAGCTTTTTATGCCTGCTTTTGTCTTTGTGATAAAAATATAGCAATCTTAAAAAAATATGTTAGAGGGGATATGGAATGTTAATACTTTTATTTTCAACAGGAAAAAAGTTGTGATCCTATGTCTGAGGAATATGATGAGTCCAGCCTCTATGAAGGTGTAATAGATGTCTTCCCACAAGATTATACTTCAGACACTTTCTGTGAAACTGATTCAGGAAAATTGCAGGTGCTGGTGAAGTTGTTGGCAGCAATCCATGAGCTCAACTCTTCTGAAAGGCAAGTGTGAAAGAAAGGTAGAAGGGAGGTAATGGGAGTGACCTTCTGGATATTGATTTGCTTTTCAAATGCAAGGGAGTATAACATTCAAAATAAAGGTATTGCAGCTGTTTGCAGGGGTGCCAAATGAATTTAAGCATTGTAGTTCTGCCTGTTTTGTTATAATTTTTAAGGATGCTCTTTATATTTTTTGCATGTACTGATACTTGTATTTTTTACATTGTAAGGCAAGTAAGATAATTTGCTACAGCCCTTGTGCTGCCCCCTGTACTTGCAGAGGCTCTTCAGTGCTTTGCATCTTCATGAGAAGATGTGTTAGTCTATGAAATTGCACTGAAATATTTTCATTACTAGATTATAAGTTATTTCCTCTTTAATCATGCTTAACTGCTCACTGCTTGCTGCCTTTTCTAAAGTTCAGGGCAACCATTCTCAACAGACGAACTTGCCCAGCAACCACTTATTTCCCCTGTGGTAAATGCCACTGACATGTAGGAAAACTTCTAGTTATCATGGGGTAAGAGGATGCACATGATTAATTTCTGTGCAATTGCTGATTTGTGGGAATCTCACCTGGTGTCCCAGGATAATTTTTTATGGACTCATGCCTTAAAGCCCAAATATTCCAAAAGTATTTAACTCTTAACTTTTATTTCAAGTGATGTTTAAATAGGACTCACTGTAATTCAGTAGTGGGAAGTAACAGCAGATCTCTTGACACTGATGTAATGGAATATGAAGATAGTTTCTTTTCACAAATCAGAAAGTTGAGCCTGTTGCTGGAGTTTATATACTTAGCATCCATTGAAAGCAGTGACAGCTGAATATCTAAATGTACTGACCTTGTTTCGTGGAGATCAGCGAAACCAGGAGTGTCAGTAAAACGTGTACCTCACTGTAATAGTACTTTAGGAGCTGCTGAGTTGAGGCACTCCTTTATGCCTTTAAGTTTTGTTTCATTAATTTAGTGCAGCTCATGTTTATTTTTCTTTGGTTTCTCTGCTTTCATTGGTATTAAATAGTTTTTGCAATATACAGACTCAATTCCAGTCCTAATCTGAAGTTTATATTATATTTCTGAGTGCAGACAAAGTTGTGAATGTTGTGTGGATTGACAAAAAAGTAAGTCTTGCAAAGTCTTTACAAACACATCATGGATGTAGTTCAGTTCCAAAGCACTTCTAAAATGTTAATATTTTAATTTTCCCCTGAAATTATTTGTCTAGTTATTCAGAACTTGTTTTAATCCAAGTTATTTTTTAAAAATAATGAAATGTATAATTACCTTTTAAAAAAATGAAATATATTACATTTAGTTTAGGTGACTAAAGACCTCCACATGAGATTTGGCAGAAAATGCCCTGTTCTTCTACTTATGCCTTAAATTCAAAAGATATGCCTACTTAGTTGAATCATCCTCAATATTTGGGAGGATAGGAATGCTAGATTTTCAGATCTTTGAAACCTAAGTAGGCAAAATTTCAGAGAAAATAGACCAACATAGCTTGAACCATTACTGTAAGGGATCAGACTGATTTTGCTTTGTGGAAAAAGCCAGTGTCTGTCTTTCACTAGTCTTCATCCCTGTTCTTTTCAGCCATAAAATGTCGGAAAGTATCTCTGCTGTCCTACTCAACTTTCATTATAATTTTTGTTAGAACTTTCTGAAGTTTTCTGTAAAAATTCATACTAGCTTTCAGAGTAAGTAGAGTTTTATATATGTATATATTATTTATTAGCTCCTACAACATCCTCTGCAAATGCTGTCTTAACAGTTATTTTGTATAAACAGACTTTTAAAAAAAAATCTTTGTGATTGGTTCTGAATGCCTGCAATCTACATTATGCCAAATTCTGTTGCAAAAGGAGACATTAATTATTTAACATTTGAATGCTTGACAGTAGCTATAAGGCATCCAGATCTGGCATGTGCTTCTAATTAATTGGAAATGTTTTATTTTGTAGAAAGTAAAAGTAACCCCGGGTTGATGTGTAATTTTTCACCTTAATTTTATTTTCTTAGATGTCTTCAGTGATTTGTTATTGAACTTAAAATTTACCAGGGTCTGGTTGATGACTTTATTTTACTGTTTGACAGAGTCGTGTTGGTATCAAATTACACTCAGACGTTAAATGTACTACAAGATGTATGCAAACATTATGGATACTCCTATACTAGACTTGATGGACATACTCCTGTCTCCCAGAGACAACATATTGTGGATACTTTCAATAGTAAATTCAGCCCAGCTTTTATCTTTTTGCTGAGTTCAAAGGCTGGTGGAGTGGGACTGAACCTGGTTGGAGCATCTCATTTGATCCTGTATGATATCGACTGGAATCCAGCTACAGATATTCAGGTCTTGTAACAGCTGTGTACATGTGGGTTGGGATGGGCATAAAATGAATTCTTGACTGATTTTTAATTACCTGACTTTACATGTCTTACTGCTACCAATTATCACATTGTGTCTGGACAAGTACAACAACAAGGGAAAACTCTTCCTGAGAAGAAAAGAAGAAACATTTATCTGTCATATTATATATATTGGGATCAGTAGAAGCCCTCTTGCAGTAAAAAATAAAAATATTAAATTTTAGTTTCTTTGGAGGAGTGAGTCATGTATCGTCTTTGTCTCTTGATGTCTTTTTATCTGGAGAGTTGCTGTGTTCCTAACAAGCAAAGGAAAATGGGATTATGGGATTAGATTGCATAGCAAATATTGCTGTTGATTTGCAATCCCTGAGAAAAAGGGAGAGACTGAACAGAATTGCAAGAATGAGAAAATTACATGGCAATGATGCCAAAAGAAAGAAGAGAAAGCCAATGCTGTGCTATTCTTGTAAAGGCACTGCTGGTCTCAAGGGATTATTTAGTTGGCATAAGAGTCTTCAGTTAAAATAGCCCTTAAAAATAACAATTGGAAAAATCTTTTTATGAACTCAGTAAGAAACTTTTTATTGTAGAGTAATGCTGTGTCCATAATACCTGAAATAAGCCCTTGCTCCTCTTCCCAGGGTGAATTAGTACCCTCATGTGGTCACTTGTCTTGTTGCTTGAAAAAGTCTGGTAAATCAGACAAAATTGCTACAGGTTGCCGGAGACTGCGAACCTGTTGTGTGAGTTTGTACTGAGGATGTAGGTGTAACCCTTACATTTTGAAGAAAAGATCATATAGCAGTACTCAGTTTTACATTTTGTTTGTTTAAGAAATAAAGGAGGTGGAAACAATCATTTTTAGAATTTCAATAGAAATGTATAAGTAACTTTTAAAGATGTTTTGTGGGAAAAAAAAAAAAAAACAACTATTTTGGAGATGGGGGAGAATGATCAGTATTCCTGAAATATTAAATAGTTGCTAATACTTGGAAAACAAATATGAAGAGGGGATTTCTTTCAGGAAATAATTGAAACACTTACTTTCCTTCTTTACTGTACAGAAAGGAAGAGAAGCATAAATGGCAGAAAGTAAATTATATTTTCAAAAGTGTTTACAAATTAATACCAGAAAACTTACACAAACACAGAGAGTTATTGGGGAATGAGCTGGTAATTCAGTCAGTGAAGACTACAAGCTTTAGTGAAGTATCCTTGTATAGCAGGCTGTTAATGCTCTTTATTTTCTTCTTTCCTCAGGCAATGGCTAGAGTGTGGAGAGATGGTCAGAAACATTCTGTCCATATCTACAGGCTGCTAACCACAGGTCAGTGATGGTGCTCAGCTTACCCAGCGGGAGACAGATGTTGACCTTTTGTCCATAAAAGAAAGAGAGGAAATGTTTTTGGAAATAATTTGTTCTTTAAATATATATATTATTTTATATTAAAAAATATATATTTGTTCTGAGTTCAGTTAAGATGGAGACATCACACTGATTCACTTGCCTTTGCTTTGCTTTTTGTTAAATAACTGAAAACAGTGATTTAGCATTATCTATGTATCTTGTTATCAAGAAATGGATTTGACTTCTTTGGAAATACTGGTCAATAAATTATTCCAATTTATCTGTTTTTCTTTTCAATACAGGTTCAATAGAAGAAAAGATTTACCAAAGACAGATCAGCAAACAAGACCTTTCTGGGGCAGTTGTAGACCTTTCCAAGACATCTGAACACACACATTTTTCTATTGAGGAGCTTAAAAATCTCTTTACTCTACATGAAGATTCCAGCTGTGTTACTCATGACTTGCTTGAGTGCGACTGTATGGGAAAGGTTGACCATCAAAGTGAGTTTGTTTTTCATTATCTCTGGCTACTGCTGTGGAACCCATTCTTTATATATAGTCTATCTCTGGAGAAAACTTTGATTCTCAGTAAAAGAGGATTGAAATAATGAGGCTCATTATGGAATCTTCCACATACTCGCTGATTTATCTAATCCATAGGAGTCCTTCATGAAAGGAGAAGATTAATTCCTTGCAGTAACAACCAGTTCATTTATCATGCAAGTTCCACATCTATCTTTTCTGTAGGAACCTGTCTCCTGTTCTGCTGGCATATCAAAGTTGTTTTCATACCTTGCTGTGTACAGGTATATAGGTTTAAGTTGAAAACAGGATTAAAAAAAATAAATGATCATAAGTTATGTTTGCGTCTTATCCATTTTCGTTTTTATAGCTCATCTAGTTTCTTAAAGGAAAGAATGTCTATTGCCTTGGTATGTTTCTCTTGTGGGGCATGAAATATCCATGTACACTATTTACAGGAGTGATAGTGTGATACCAATACTGATGTCTTCTAAATGCACACAGAAACCTCAATAAAAAGAGCTCAAGAAATGGGTACACGAGCATGTGTTCTCAAGAGACAGGGCAAGAAAAGAAGTAATGCAAACCCAGTACTTTTTTGCTTGATGGTTTGCATGTTCCCAGGTAATAGGTTAGACTTGTACTTCTTTTTTATTTCATTCTACTCAAAATGAGGAAGACTTGGCTAGTGATAGCACAGAGTTTCTGTAGACATAAGAATGTGATTTTCTCCTTTATTTTTGC